GTTGGTTAGGACACGTTTTGCGTATGTCCGACGGTCGCCTACCGCAGCGCGCCTTGTTTTGAGTTGCTGTTACAGGCAGGAGAAAGCCACGTGGAGGCCAGGAGATGACGTGGAGACGAGGCATGAAGAAATGCACAGAGCCATTAGGTAGAGTAGCCGTCTCTCGTCTCCCATGTTATGGTCCAAAAGACTCAGTTACCGCATGGTTGGAGACGCTGAAGGTCATGGCTGCGAACCGACCGCAATGGCGATCATGTTGTCACTTCCTATCAGAAGAGAATGCTTGAAATGGTATGTATGTATGGTATGTATGCACAATTGGGCTATGTACTCTGTGTGTTGGCCATAGAGGTTCGCTTTCTTTTCCCGTCCCTAAAAATAGGCCCAACGCTGTCCTTTTTACACATTCTCACTTATTTTCTATCCAATATGAGTTTGGCAACGCTCAGTGAAGTTCGCCTCACTGTATTACGCTGTCCAATGATGAAGGTGATAGTTGCCTCAATTATAGGTTTATTTTTGACGTGTATTTAGCTTTTCATTCGACGTTGGACAGCTTTCTCTCTATCTGGCTCTCAACTAAGTTTATCTATCAATGAAGCGTTTACGAATAATCATTTTTCACGATTAGCAAGTGAAGTTTGTTTTGCAATAAACAATCCGTTGTTTAGTGACTCGACAGTTCACGATTACGGCAAATGAAGATGAGAGAGTAAGGACACATGAAGAGACGCTTATTGTGTTGCGGAGTGGTGGGGATGATGTGCCCGAAACCAACAATTTTTAGGCGGAAGTATGTAGACCTATTGCGATCACTGCACGTGCATGCTTCGGGTAGCGCTAGGTCCTACGTTGGACTAATCAAGTCATTCGAAACCAGGAGCAGTAGAATCCAGCTGAATAGGCTTCTTTGGTTAAGACACGTTTTGCGTATGTCTGATGGTACCCTGCCGCAGCGCGCATTATTTACAGTGGCCGCTACAGATTAGAGAAAGCCACGTGGAGATAAGGCGTGAAGAAATGCACGTAGCGTTTAGGTCGAGTAGGTTTCTCTCGTCTTCCGGGTTGGTTTTCCAAAGACCGCATGGAGAGACACTGAAGTTCATGGCAGCCAACCGACAGCAGTGGTTATCTTGCTGCCACTTCTGAGCGGAATGCTTGGAGTAATATGTATTCACAGTTGGGCTGTGTACTCTGTTGACCATAGAGGTTGGCTTTTTCCCGTCCCTAAAAAGGGACCCAATCCTTATCACCCTCATACATTCTGACTTACCTTGTACGCACTATGAGTTTGGCAGCGATCAGTGAATTCACTTCATCTTTTCTCACTGTACGATGATGTTGCTGTTGCTGCTGCTGCTGCTGAATGTTTTCCAGTTCATATGTTCATCAAGTACGTAAAGCGTATTTATTAGGCGTGNGGCGTGGTGTATTTTGTTGGTCGATTTACCATTGAAAATAACCCTCTCTTCTAACTGTTTATTTACGATTATCCAATCGTGTATGCTTCCAAATAAATTCGTTAGGCGTAAATCAAATTAATCTATGTGAGAATCGAATCCGGTCAGTTAAACCGCATTGTGTACCACATTATTCCAGCACTCTTCTCCAAACTACATGTTTTGAACACGTCTAGAAGTTTTCGGCTACCAATGTTGAAGTAGTTCGCCGCTGAATGGATAGCGCGAATGTGTAAGCAACTCTGAGGTAAGCCGTCGCGTAGTTGGTAAGGATTCAGTTGAAAATTTCCCATGACATTTAATTCAGATCAATAGGCTTCGTTAGATAGGGCCGTATTTCTTATGCCCAGCTGTCTTCTACCGCACCGCACGTTATTTTCATTTTTGTCTCCAGGTCGGAGGGTTCGAAAGATTCCGCAACGCTTTTGTTGAAGACATTGAAGGATATGGCTCGTCCCGACGACCCTGCAGATGTTTTGGGGTTGCAAATGTCAATGGAGCCTTTTGTACGCGTGCCGCCATGTGTAATATAGATCCCGAAGAGGAAAGTTACTCTACTTCCTCTGCATGCCAAGTCAGAATGAGGTTGGGAGCTGAATAAGCCAGTCTTGTAGCAACATTTCGCTCTTTGAACGTGCAAAACGCATGCCGTTTATAGCTACATTGGCACCTAAACCCTATAGAAAGGCTTGTAACTCTCTCGGAGGTTCATTGAACAGTACTATATATAGGGATCTCAAGTTTCTAGGGCGCATCCTTTACGGAGAGACAGCGCCAGAGTATGGATCGGTCAATTGGGTCGAAAGCCGCTTTCAAATCGAGGGCGATGGAAATGGTGGGTCTGAAAATGGAGTGTTTGTATTTTCTCTAATTTGGTGAAGAATAAATACATAGCTGATACAGCCTCGATCGGGTCTCAAACCGGACTAGTTCTCATCCGTGTACCGTTCACGTTCGGCAGGCAACCGAAGGAGTATGATCCTGGCGCGAGATTTAGATAGAATGTTTGTCAAACTGATTCCGCTGTGGCTTACACTAAGGGTTCTGTCACATTTATTGTCAATCGATAAGATGACTTACTTCCACCATTCAGTTGGAACCTCTTTGTGTGTGTGTGTGTGTGTGTGTGTGTGTGTGTGTGTGTGTGTGATATTTTCATACTCTACCGAAGGTACAATTTCACAGGGCTTGTGCTTTGCTTTGCTTGTAGCGCCTGATTGTAGACAGTACTCGTCTCACTCACACGCATCCTCTGGCGATTTACGGCGCCTTGCTCATTGCTTTCGCTGTCCGGGGTGTGTGGCATGCGGTGTCCGTTGGTCGCGGAACAATAAATCCGATTGAATTTCTTGATGGTCTTCTTGCCAGATTGGCCAGAGTACAGTATGAGTTTGTGAAGTCCACTCATCCCGTCTGGAAGTCTGCTTTCGATCAGTACGCTGCTAGATTCGACATTATCAAAAAATTCCTCACTGGTCCGAATGATCCTTCAGTTGAGGAAATAGTGCGGCATTTGGGTAAGTCGTTTGATAGTTTCTTTTCTTCCTGGGCTCCGATAAATTTGACATTTCACACTTACCTGGTAACACCCTCGAAGTGAAAATACTATTAAGAATTCACAGTGTAGGCGAGCATATGTTTTCGGTGAATTCCGTTTCAAGTCTTTGCAACCACCTTTATCTGAAACAATTTCAATAGGGTTGAACAGAAAAGTGAATGAGTCATGTGTTTTGTAATAAGCTCGAGAGAACTCCAAATTTGTACGCTCTTTGAATACTAGATAGCTGTTTTTACTTGGTCGGGTCTCGTCAGCAGTGCGAATACATCGTTTCAATGGAAAATGGAAAAACGGCATGATCAGTTGCCCTGTTTCAGTTTCAGTTTTGACAATCATTAACCATGCACTTTCGTGCCCCGGTTTCCGTTGCCGTCTTTTGGTCGCTTATTTGGATAAAGTGCAGAATAAAGATTATAATGTTGACAGCAGATTAAAACGGAGGACAGCGCATTTCTACGGTCTGAAGTTACAAGAATAATAGTAGATGCATAAGCACCACTGTTTGCGACACCCAGCCATATCACTCAGTGTCTTTAACCATCGGTGACCATGATCTTGGGGTCTTCAGTCAGGAAGCCTAACGGGACGTATGTCAACCAGTCATACCTTCATGCCGGGTCATCGCTGCCCGNCCAGTTAGGTCGATGGATTCGTACCGCTGATGAGACCCAACCAGGTCGAAAAAGCTGTCCTGTGCTCACTAGCTTGTCAGTTCACGCATCATTTGCTATGTATACGGCGTATTCCACCTTATTTTGTTCAGTCCAATTCCAGTCGATACACTTCTCAAAATAGCCATTTTCGAGTGAGATACTCCTCGCCAGTTCAAGTTTAAAGTATCTTTCGAACGGATGCGCCTCACTCTCTGCGGGAGACAGAGTACGAGGTTGTCTCTTTGATAGAGTGGGGCAAAGCTATGAAAATTTGTGTACTGTCCACTGCATGTTGCTTTCTGATATCTTTCTTTTGATAGAGCCGTCAGGGCGTCTAGTCAGATAAACATCCATAAATGGAAGGCAATCATTCACCTCTGGTTCAGTTGTGGACTGAAGTGACGAATGTGCTGCGTTGAATTTTGACTCAGGATGGGCAAGATTAGTCTTCTTGTTAGCCAGCAAGAGATATCATCTACATAACAGTGATGATGTTGAAAACAACTAATAGTCGAAGATAAGGAAGTTGTCTCTAACTTGGCCATGAAAATGTCGGCGAGAACAGGTCCGAGGAGCGAACCCATAGTAACACTATCAACTTGGCGGTAGAATGTGTAAATAAACAAAGTTGTACATTTTGTGTGCATTTGCGTATGGCTCCCTTGAGAGTTATGATTGGAATGCCCACGGATATCGTTTCTGTGGTGATAAATTCATAAATGAAATCAGCTGCCTCTAACAGAGGAAAATTTGTAAAGAGAGAAACAACATCCAAATAGAACGTAAGCCGGTCGTTAATGTTCACAGGTTTTGTTATTTCAACAAACTAAAGTGTCACAGCTATTTCGGCACACGTCCCATGGTCTGTCTTAACAGACCCAGCTTCTGAGGCGGAAATCTGTAAGGAGATCCAAGCCTTGAGACGTCACAAAGCGCCGGGCCCTGATGGCCTTCCGCCAGCTCTATTTAAAGATGGTGGAATAAAGCTTGTTAGAGAAATACAAGTTCTGTTCTCTAAAATTTGAAACACTGAGCCGGTCCCCTTCTCGTGGGAGGACTCGATTGTCGTTCCCATCTTCAAAAAAAGCCGCGCAATGACTGTGCCGTAGGGGTATAAGCCTTATCCCTCATATTTTTGAATCGAAGGCTTTAATCAGGATTCGCAAAGAAAACTCCTTGCGTCGGTGTAGCCTACCGCAAAGTACGTCGTGCCCTAAAGTCCCAGGCATCCGCTGGGATAACTCAAAATTAAAACCTGTAGCTTGCCATTATCGCCTGAGCCATTGATGCTCGATTAATCAACCGTTAGTTTACTGTCACCGACATCTGATGTACACGTAATTGTTAAACGCTTATTTCAGTTTGCGCGTCAGTGCGGTCAGATTTTTGAATCGAAGGTTCCGGTCAGAGTTCACTATGACCAACATCTGATGTGCACGTCTTTGGTCCGAGCGCATGTGTGCGGTGTTCGATATTAGGAACTCGTAATTGGTGTGTGTGTGTGTGTGTGTTCGATGTGCGGTACCATCAGCACAGTGCAGTGAGATAAATGAATAAATGGTTTCGAAAATCGGACTTCACCATGCATTGGTTATTTAACGCTTCTTAATTTTCGCCGTTCCAAGCACCGTGAATTCATTTTCGACCTGACTGGTACATTTTCATTTGGTGTAGATCAGTCTATGACTTTCATTAAAAGCAGTCTCTCATTTTCGCAGCTGATAATGATCCCTGGTTTTTCATGCACTCGACAACAACAGACGGCAACGTTTTGCAAATCATAAGTGGCTGTTGAACGGAAGCCACGGACAATCGTTCCACCACAGCTGCAATCAGTGTGTTCCATGTTTCCGTCTTTTCTGTCTTCTAGGAAATGACCTCAAAGCGATAAATTCCATCCCAACCGCGCTGTACGTATTTTTGCGTTCGCTCAGGCCCATCCACAATATTCCTCTGGAAGTAAGTTATTTTTGTGTGGTTGCACTCTCTTCCCTCCTCTTCTGCTGGTCTTGACTCTAGTCATTATACAGTGCGGTCGCTCCATCGTATCATTGTCTTGTCCCTCTCCCCCGTGAACTTGAACTATTGAATTCCCTCTGACCCTCTCTGCGATTTGATTGGCTCATCTTCCGCGATTTGTGTCACTGGGATCCCTCGACACGACACGAGGCTGTCTTATTACCGACTTGTACTCGTTGTGATGCTCTTGTTGTCACGTGCATTCCAACCGTGTGGTGCTGGCATGCCTGCTGTAGAGTCAAAGTCCACTGGGCCGATATACATGTGCTGCTCGATCGTAATCGACATTTGTAAAATGTGGACTCGCTGTTCAAAATTTGAGCACAGGCGTTTCACCTTAGACGAAGTTTAACGCATTCCGTGCCAGCATCATTCCACTGCAAGTTGTGTGCTCACGTTCGACGAAACGTCTCTATTGGTTCCCAATCTATCGGTGCATATGGTTGCCATTGCATTCGGACTTTGCTCCGTTCGTGTGCACTATGTTTTTGTTACATCGGGTTAGTGCTCCGTACAGCATTTTCCGATGAGAACATAACGACCTAAGAAAGCATTGTCTATCGTTTGTCGTGTGGCTTATGCGATATGCGTGTACAACATTGTGACTTGGAGATCATGTTTATTGATGATATGAAGTGAGTGAAATGCATTCGGAGAAAGGTAGTGGTTAGGAGACTGTCGGGGTTGTCTAGTCTATGATGTGATATGGAAGTATGAAAACGGTGACGAGAAAACCTGTGTCATGCCGCTTGAGTGATGCTTCTGAACTGGGGATCGCTGGCCGGCTTAGTGAGTGGTTCGAGGTGTTGACTGATATCCCCGTGTGTTACAAATCTATTTGTTTTCTGCACGCGTCCAGTGTGCCTCTGCTCTGTATCCTCCTCATATTAATACTGTTCTCATGTTTCGGTATGTCGTTACTTCTTTATTCACCATTGAGTTCAAATAACGGTTTACTGAAGGAAAGCAACTTTAAGTATCGGATGTAAATGCGGGATTGATGATTACACAGTTTCTATTTCTACAAACATTACTAAACATCACTTTGGTGTCTTTTTTGTAGTTGTCTTTTTTCAGTCGCTTTGGACCACGACGATACGACTGCACCTTGACGTGGTCTGATGGCTTGTGCACTTCTGCGATTCACCGTGCTACACAGGATGGCTTTTGTGGAGCCAAAGATTTAATGATTCCTCTAAGGTCAATGGGTAAAAGTCAAAAGGTGTCCAGTTACCTGGTCCTCCAGCTTGAGGGTTCAACTTGAGCTGACGTCTCAGTCGATAAAACGTGTTGGAAGAGTAATTAATCCAACTTAATGGGCCGACAATCCGCCTTAACCGCTGCCTTGCGGTTAGGTTCTTGTGAGAACTAATGGCTTTGGTTGAGAACCCTAATCGTTCTCCTACTTAGTGGTTGGACTTCCTGACAGAAACCCTTCCGTAAGACTCCAATGAACACAAACTGAAAATAATTTCATATTGCATCGGTCGTCGTGCAGAATAATCAGGACCGTACTGCCCATTGCATCGAGCGGGGTAGGTAGCGGTTAGTGGGTTATTGCTCAGATATCCTAACCTTTGTTTAATTCTTTGTCTTCTATACTAACCCATGTCCCTTTGCCCCTTACTCCAACCGGTAGCATTCTCTCACGTAACTTGTTCGTCATTCGCCATAGGTCGTTGCCAAATAGCACTGTAAATAGTTTTCCCCGTAAATAAAGTGCAGATTTTGAAGTATATATATTTCACACACGTCTGAATCCAGACTGTGTGCCAAGCAAATCAAGGTACGTTCCATAAGTTTCATGTGGGCGGAATACTACCACGTTGCCCTGGCCATGGCAGGCGAACTATCCCGAGGAATCCACAACTGGAGCCTTTGGTTAGCCAAAGCCTGACCCACAAGGTAGCGGGGCGGTGTGTGAAAACCTCAATCCATTGGGGGCCGGTGTCCGGCTCATCAGATAATGCGCCCTTTGGACGGGGTAAAACGTCCAAGGTGCCCAATACACCTCAATACCCAATCGAGCCGGTGACCACTGCCGCAGCCGGAAAGGTGTATGTGGTTCGTACGCCTCCTCTCGGTTGGTTTGGAATCACGGGTTTTTGCCAACTCCCCTAGGTGAACTACCAGTGGTCCACCGACCCGGTTATAGCCCCGGCTGTCGACTTTTCGTCTTCTCACTTTGGTAGGAAAACACGTCCGTCACGAGAAGGCAGTGAGTAGGGCATCCGCAGCAGAGGCTTTTCAAGACGCTTGGTCGTATGGGGGCATTTCGCGAGATGCAAGGGAAGGGTGACCATCCGCAACCCTAGACACCCACCCCGCACCAAACTGAGGATTTTCGTCAACCTCTCAATCTGAGGGCCTTCAAATTGAGGAGTCTTATGCTGGTGGGTCAACAAGCGTTTCTTGCGCATACAATGAATTCTTTAGAAATTGAGACACAGAGACAGGAATTCAGGATCCTAATATCATAACTCGCCTCAGTGCGCCGGGTCTGTCCTCGCAGAATTTCCTTCGTAAATCCGGAGGCGATGAAGCCCACTCACTGGTTCAGCGTGGTGTAAAGACCGTACTGAAGGCTCACGGATAGATTGGATACTTGTCAATAGTCGTTTGTACGCAATGAAAGTCCATGGTTCAGTTAGTGTTTGGAAGGGCAGCTACAGCTAAAGGCCATCATCTCCGCGTATGCCCCGACCAACTGCATTCCCATTTCACAAAAGTATAAATTTTACGACAAACTCGCCGAACTCATCTGGTCGGGTCGCAGCTCTGATATCAAAGTGCTGGCAGGTTATTATAACGCACAGGCTGGAAAACTAAGCGCATTCGAAGCCTGTCTAGTAAGACCCTTCGCTCTTCCCGCCTAGCGAACAGACAATGGTGATCGACTACTACTGTTCTGCACCGACCATCGGCTGTTCTTATCTAGAGTTAACTTTCAATACAACTCTCGTCGAACGACTACATAGTGTTCTAGTTCAACAGGAAGGTTGACCCCAATTGACCACATAGCTTTAAACTACAGTTAGCGTGGTTCAGTACAAAATTGCAGGTTCTGTTGGACCACCTGAGTTGAGTGGGATCATGCTCTATTTCTGTTACACTTCACGCTTCGATTCATTAGTCATCGGCAGAAATCGCCTCCTCGTCTGCGCGATCCATCTGTCTGCGCACTTTATGCGGAGAAGCTGTGACAGGAACTAGAAGAACCGCGATATAGTGGAGTAGACCAACAGTGGAATCAGATTTGATTTGCCATACTGTTACAGCAAACTTTACTTGTGAGACAGCCCGAAGTTCGCCGAGGACATCAGATCTCTCGGGAGTCAGTAGTTCTGTTGGATCAAAAGCGAAAGATCCTAATCTGCCAAGATCAGCATAGGGACCGATGCACCTGCAACGCTAACGCAGGAAAAGCCTTGAGAAAGATCGCGAAAACTGGTGGGCCAAAATATCTAGTGAAATGGAGGTAGCTTTTGCATCAGGGAATAGTCAAAGACTGTTTCAAGCGATACGCAGCGCCACAGGTCGCCACATACCGGTCAGTGAAACCATTGACGATACAAGTGGACAGTGAAAAACGACTTGATCGCTGAGCATAGTATTTTAGTGAACAGTTCAATCAGCCTAATGCTAATGCAGTTATTCCGGCGATTGAATCGGGAACTCGATGGCTGTGCTCCCATTCTGAATTGGGAGTACGAATTTACATCGAATCATTAAAGAAAGGGAAGGTTGCGAGATCATGATGGGCTTCTCCCAATTATTTTTAAGGTGGTCGGTGATTATCGATTATTGAACACTGCTAAACGACGGGTGTCTTCTACCCGCAAATTCAAGGTCTCACAACCGTAAAGTAGAACTGGTCGTACAGTGGCGCAGTATACGCGACTTTTCAACTTCAGTAAAACGTCACGCCTACGCCAAAGGTGTTTTATTCCTGCGTACGCTGCTCGAGCCTTGGAAATGCAGGCCGTTATCTCCTTCGATGCGCTACCGTCGTTGGTCACGCAGCTACCTAAGTACGAGAAGCAGTCAACTTCAGCTAATTCCTGACCGTCTAGTTTCAGAACAGAACTCGGTGACACCCAGCCTTGTAGCATCACTTTGCACTTTTAAGGTGCAAAGTGCATGCCGAACGGAGCGACAGAACTTGCTAATATGTCAAGTGCTCTTTGTGTATCCTCCATACATTCGAACAAGCAAACGATATCGTCAGCGTACTCCAAATCGCACAGCTTTTCTTCAGCTGCCCATTCAATACCTACATTTTGGAGACCACTCATTGTGTTCTCCAGTATTTCGTCTATGGCGAAATTGAACAGGAATGGCGAAAGAGGGCACCCTTGACGAACACCGCTGCTAGTTACGAACGATCTACTCAGCTCGCCGTAGATCCTTACGCTACCAGAAGTATGTGAGTAGAATGAACTTAGTATATTGACATAATTCTGTGGCATTCCTTTGCGAAGGAGTGAACCCATAAGGGATTCACGATCAGCTGAGTCGAAGGCTCCTTTTAGGTCAAGGAACACGACAACCGTTGGTCGACGGTGCGTATGGTGTAGCTCGAGGACTTGACGCAGGGTGAAGATCTGATCGATACAACTGCGACCTGGTCGAAGTCCTGCTTGTTGTTCGCGGATGTTTGTCTCCCTAAACGGTGTCAGACATCGAAGTATAATGGAGGCTAGTAACTTGGTGACGATTGGGATCAAACTTATTCCACGGTGGTTTGCGCAGTCATTGCGAGATCCCTTCTCAAAAATTGGAACGATCAGTGATTCGCTCCAGGATGATGGAATGCGCTCGTCTAACCAGATGTTACGCATTAAATCAGTAATGGAGTCTACAAGGTCATCGTCATCTATCTTGAAAAGAGTGGGAGGAAGCCCGTCTGGCCCTGCTGCTTTTCCTTTATTCAGGGCTTGGATGCAAGGACGAACTTCCCCTGGAGTAGGAGGTTCAAATGGCACTGTCCATGGAGTCCCATCTACATCGGAGGAGATAGCCTGGTTAGCGCCTAGCCAGCTGAACTGTTCTTTGAAGTACTCAACTACAATAGGAAACTCAGAGTACGCCTCCTAAGCCTGCCTTGATCGCGGGCGGTGTGGATTTGCCGCCTTTTCTCCATCGGTGCTCTTGACTCGGGCGGGCTAATGCTCCAGATCCACAAGCAATCTTCGCTGGGGAGTGCATTGCTCGGCTAATCTGATCCCATTGTTCATTCACACTACCACCCCGCAGTGCGTTTAGCTCTCGCCCTAATTCTGATTCAAAACGAGCACGAACGGCTGGGTCAGATAAGTGATGATCTGCCCATCGAGTTTTTTGGGATAAGAAACTGAACCACGCCAACGGTAGCTTACTGCTATGAGGTCGATTTGAGTTAGCGTGCCAGTTGAATTCGAGCGCCATGTTGCTGTCCGTTGAGAGTTGTGTCAGAAGTTGGTGCTGGATAGGAACAGATGATGATCTGCGCAGAACTGAAGAAGTCGATCACCATTATCTGTTCGCTGGCAGGGCAGAGCCCAATTACCGCCGAGGCAAGCTTCTGATGCGCTCAGTTTTCCAACTTCAGCGTTCAAATCACCTGCGAGAATAACTATATCTGAGCTTCGGCTCAACAGAATGAGTTCGGTGAGTTTATCATAAAATTCGTCCTTTTGTGAGTCAGAACTGCAGTTGGTCGGAGCATACGCTGAAACGATGGACAAACTCCTTTTGGTGTTGCTTCCCTTCCGGACGCTGGTAGACCCTTGGAGCCGCATCACACAGCAGTGGTTGTTGACGGGGATCCAATCGAGTAGTGCGGCTTCGGCTGTATTATTCAGTACAATGCCCACAACCTCGGTTGCCCTGATTGAAGCTCGCAAAGCCATTCCATCGGATTCAAGATATGACAAAGTGCGCAAATCCCTTAAACGCCAACCCATCAAGAGTCTGAGGAATGACCGCGAGAAGTGGTGGGTGGAAAATTGTAGAGATGGAGGAAGCTG